GCCATGATAAAAGTATTACCTTGGAGTGATTACGCCCTGGCGGGGATTTCTTTGTTTATTGGCGTCGCCTGCAACATTCTTCAACCGCTGTTTCTCAGTCTTCTGTTATCTCTACTCCTGAGAACTGGGACGGAGTTACAAAACAGCTGGCTGTTTACATATGCAAGCGGGCTTTTTTGCAGTTTGTTGTTTCGCGTGGTTGTTATGAATCAGTACCAGAGCAAAGTAAGTTTTATGGGCATGCGCTGGAGAACAGCCGCGATTGGTGTCATTTACAAAAAGGTAAGCGATAACTGAGAAAACTTATAACACAGGGGCGGATCTAGGTCATCTAGGGGGAGGGTGCAGGGGTGCCCACCCCCCGCCCCCCACCTGAGATGACCTGCGGTTTTCTAATACAACTGGTAATTCCACAAAAAAAAAAAACTATGTGGTTTATTGGTGTTGAAGTAGAGCAAGAGACGAGTGCACCCCCTACTAAAAAAATCCTGGATCCGCTTCTGTAACAACAGATCGCGGTGCAACCTGAAGCCAATTACATGTGTTGTTGTACTAATTAAAATCAGTTCGCGTTTTTTGGCCAGGCTTTGATCAGGCGAAATAGAATTTTCGTGTCATTCTCTTGTGCAAAAATATAGCTGTCTGTGTTTTTGAGAACTGCATCTTATAAAAGGGCTGAAGTACGTCCAGTCTATTATTATTCGAGCATGCGAAACATATTTTTACAGACTAACAGCGGCCTGGCCTGGATAGAACAACTTTGTCGATCTGAAAGAATGTTACATTTTATCATTTTCTGTGCTCTAATTATTCCTGTAATCTTAAGATCTACAGGCTACGCCTCAAAGATCTCACACGTGTGCAGCCGGGTCAGATAATAGCCCTGGTTACTCATGATGCCCAGCGACTTGATCAAGTCTTCCAGAAAGTAGGCTACATTCTTCAGGGGTTCTTAGAGCTGGTAGCTGTAACTGCTTTAATCTGGCGCCTTATTGGATTCCAAGCTATATCCGGGATCATATTCCTTATTGTTCTGTTAGCCTATTACATTGGAATGTGGGACGTTTGCATGAAGCTGCGCATGCGCATAGCAAGATGGACTGAGCGGAGACTAAGCATAGTGGAGCAGATTGTGAGTGGAATACGGGCCATTAAAATGAATACGTGGGAGTGGCCTTACAAGAACCGGGTAGAGGAGATACGAAGGTAAAAAAAATAGCATGTGTCTCTTACTGTACCATAAAATTTCACATTTTGAAGAACATGCAGTCTCATTCACTCAAAGTAATCACGGAACCCATTAGTAAAAAAATCAGTGATATTCGACAAAAATCTACCCCAAGCTTGTTGTTATTTTTTTCCTTTTTTATTTATTCGTTATAGAAAAGAACTTCAGTACGTACGCCAGAAGAGTGCCATTTTGTCTACATTTGCGACCTTTCTTCATACTAGCTCCATTGTGGCATGTTTTATCTCCCTGACCACCCTAATCATCACTGGAGTTGAGCTCAGCACCTACAACATTTTTATGGTGCTCGCGTTTATCAGAACCATCCGCTTGTCTGCCTCATCAACTTTTGCTGCCGGTGTAAACTTCATAGGTGCTGCAGCTGGTTCGCTTGGGAGAATTCAATCGTTCCTAGAACTCGAAGAAACGGTTTACTCCGAGGGAAGCTACAGCAGAAAGAGAACACGCTCAAAGATTCGATCCTTCTTAGATCTGACGGATGCAGAAATGTCCGAGTACCTTTCCAACGAGGACTTGACTAAGATCTCCAAAGACATCAAAGTCGGAAACACTGTTCCACAATATGAGCCCGCACTCATCAAGCAGCAGTCTCTCGATATCGCGGATAACCCATCAGGTGATCTACACGTAACCTTTGAAAATGTATCCTGTTATTGGGGAAGTGGGAATAGATCAATAGCATTGAGAAATGTAACATTTAGGACCACCGCTAAAGAACTGACCCTTGTTAATGGTCCGGTGGGATGTGGGAAGTCCTCTCTCCTTGCGGCCATTCTTGGGGAACTCCCTCCAACTGAGGGACAGATCTCAAGCGTCGGAAAGATCGCATACGTGCCACAGACTCCATGGGTGTTTAGCGACACCCTAAGGGAAAACATTGTATTTGGAAAGCAATATAACCCGTTCAGGTATCAAGCTATAGTCAATGCCTGTAACCTGCAAAAGGACATCGACAAGCTCTCTGATGGCGACCTTACGCTTATAGGAAGCAATGGATTTACTTTGTCACAAGATCAGCAAGCTCGTATTGGCATCGCTAGAGCAGCATATTCAGACGCTGACATCTATCTTTTGGATGATCCTTTATGTGCAGTAGAACCTAGAGTAGCTGAACAGGTTTTCGCCAAATGCATTTGTGGACTACTATCAAAGCGAGTCCGTATTCTCGTGAGCCGTCAGTTGCAGTTCGTGGAGCGAGTGGATCAAATCCTGACCATGCGCGCAGGGACCATAATAAATGAAGTGACCTCACAAGTTATGGGTTACAGATCTGTTAAGCTTCATTCGCCAGGAGGATCAAGAGAACCGGAAAGAAAAATTCCTGTGAATAAAACAGTGGAGTTTGTGATAGAGGAAGAAATCCAAGAAAAATATCGAACACGGTCAAACCTGTTTGAAGAAGAAGAAATGATGGGGCCTGTTTCCTTAACAGTGTACTGGAAATATCTTAGAAACGGCGCTTGTCTTCCTTTCCTGGTTGCTTTTGCTATTTTTACCTTCTGTGTTCAAGGTAAGTACCCTTTACCATTAGAAGATTAACTCTGATCAAAGTTTTGTTAACATGCATAAGAGTATGTAACAATGGAAAGGCCTCGCAAGTTATAATAACTATTTTTATTCGCAAGTCCCAAGTACATTGCTATTGAGGGTAGCGGTTTTGTGCGCGCCAACTTCAAAGTTCTTAGCAGTTCTTTTCTCTTCGAAATAGACTGGAAGGAAAATGCGGAAATAACGCAAGTTAGATCTGTTTAAGGATGTATAAGCTTTATTTTATTTTTGTCTAACAGGGGCTATTCTTGTCCCGGATATTTGGTTACTGCGCATGAGTGAATTCGCGCCACGTCTGTCCTTGGATCAAACGAGCTGGTACATTTACGCTGCTATGGTGGGCGGAGTTTTTATGCTGACAATCTTACGTGCATCATTTTTCTTCGCCACAACTCTTCGCTCCTCTGAACGTCTCCATCAAAAGATGATTGTTTCTGTGCTTCAAGCGCCAATCGCCTTCTTTGACACACACCCAACAAAAAGTATTTTGAATCGCTTCTCTAAAGATATCGGTTGTATGGATGAACTTCTTCCGAGTGTGTTCTTAGTCGCGATTCAGATGACATTGTTCGCTATTTCGGTCTTCTTGCTTCCTGTAATTCTCAACCCATGCGTGTTTCTGGTGGGAGGTCCTCTGTTTGTTTTATTTATCATTTTCTGGAGCTACTACCTAAAGACCGCGCGCCAGGTTAGGAAACTGGAGATTAGTTGCCGCAGACCGGTGGTTGGTCATTTCTCTGAGACGCTGACTGGACTGGTGACAATAAGGACGCACAGCATGCAGAAAGCCTTTACGGAGGGCTTCTATGGGTTTGTAAAAATTTTTGTTGTTTCTCTTGCACAGCTNTGGAAGGAAAATGCGGAAATAACGCAAGTTAGATCTATTTAAGGATGTATAAGCTTTATTTTATTTTTGTCTAACAGGGGCTATTCTTGTCCCGGATATTTGGTTACTGCGCATGAGTGAATTCGCGCCACGTCTGTCCTTGGATCAAACGAGCTGGTACATTTACGCTGCTATGGTGGGCGGAGTTTTTATGCTGACAATCTTACGCGCATCATTTTTCTTCGCCACAACTCTTCGCTCCTCTGAACGTCTCCATCAAAAGATGATTGTTTCTGTGCTTCAAGCGCCAATCGCCTTCTTTGACACACACCCAACAACAAGTATTTTGAATCGCTTCTCTAAAGATATCGGTTGCATGGATGAACTTCTTCCGAATGTGTTCTTAGTCTCGATTCAGATGACATTGTTCGCTATTTCGGTCTTCTTGCTTCCTGTAATTCTCAACCCATGCGTGTTTCTGGTGGGAGGTCCGCTGTTTGTTTTATTTATCATTTTCTGGAGCTACTACCTTAAGACCGCGCGCCAGGTTAGGAAACTGGAGATTAGTTGCCGCAGGCCGGTGGTTGGTCATTTCTCTGAGACGCTGACTGGACTGGTGACAATAAGGACGCACAGTATGCAGAAAGCCTTTACGGAGGGCTTCTATGGGTTTGTAAAAATTTTTGTTGTTTCTCTTGCAAGGCTCACAGCGCAAGCTAGTCCAGAAGACAGAAATGTTTTTAACGAAAGATTTAGAATTAAAAATCCTTACCAAGTGATTTATTTGATTTTAACTCAGTTACCAGGATTCTCACAGTCAAGGATGCTCCACAAACATTTCTTGCGGGGGCTGGATCGGGTTCCGCCTCGACATGGTGTGCGCGGTGTTCGTGATTGTAGTAACCGCTGGAGCATTTTACGTCAAGTTAGATGCAGGTAGGTATCATTACTGTAGGCTGTGCCTCTAACCTTTAAACTACTTCCAGTTAAAGACCGAAAGAAACTGGCTCTTTCAATTTCATTGGTTTTTCAGCGCTTACAATTCTATCGCTGATCTACGCCCTGCAGCTGTCACTTGACATGTCACAGAATGGCATCAAACGCTGTGCAGAAGTAGAAAACTACATGAGTGCTGTGGATCGTAACCTGGCCTGCTCTGAGATCGAACGGGAGCCTGGGTACGCGATCGAGATCCAGCCTCCAATACCATGGCCTAAAGATGGTGGAATCAGTTTTGAGTGTGTTTCTTTGAGTTACAGCAGAGAAGGATCAAGAGTTCTGAAAGATATCTCCTTCACAGTGCAGCCTGGGGAAAAGTTGGGCATTGCTGGACGACCGGGTACCGGTAAATCATCGATCGTGAATGCTCTTTTTCGAATGCCAGAATGCGGAGGAAAGGTCACAATTGACGGTGTTAGGATAAACAACCTTGAGCTTCAAGCAAGCAGGCGCGGCATGTCAATTATCACTAAGGAACCAATTCTCTTCATGGGTTCACTGCGCATGAACGTCGATCCGTTTCTAAACCACAGCGAGAAGGAAGTCTGGGAAGTACTAGAGAAGTGCCACTTAAAGTCCTGGGTCGAGAGTCTTCCAAAACAGTTGTACCAGGACCTCGCGGACTGTAGCGCGACATTGGGTCCTAGTGAAAGACAGTTGATCTCATTTGCGCGTGCACTGCTACACAAAAGCAAGATCGTGATAATAGATGAAGCTACATCCAGCGTGGATTATCGTACTGATCGTCTTATCCAGGAAGTGATCCGTACCTGGTTTATTGATTGCACTGTCATCACTATCCCACATCGACTGAGTACGATTATCGACTACGACCGCGTCATGGTCCTGGAGCGAGGAAAGATTGTCGAGCTGGACAAACCGGAAGTCTTGCTGAGGAGAAACGATGGTTATTTTGCCCACTTATATGGAAATCAATGTCCGTCATGATTAATTAAGGAACACTAAAGACACTTCAAAAAGACTGAGAGTTGACACAGTAGAAAGTAAAACATCGAACTTGTTTAACCTGGTGGCCAGTGCATCACTTTGTAAAATATGTCTGTCTTACAAGAATACAAAAAATATAACGTACGGAAAAGTGACAAGAACACATACCATAGTTTGGTGATTATCCACTGAAACGCCACTATAGCTAAGTTAGTATCGAGTGCTTTTATACTAGTGTGGTCAAAGCACCCCTTTAGCTATAACAAGTAACTAAAGCGCGTATGTGCAGTCTTTATTTTAGCTAAATTCCAGCGTTGGATCAGGTTAGGGCCAGTTCAATGTCCGCACTTGTCAGCGCTGAGAGTCTACCGTAGTAACTAGCTATGACTAATAGTGGCCTATTCTTGGCCAGTCTATTGCGCATGCTTAGTCATATCAACTGGTGTCCAGTTTGAGTTGACTGAAATGGAAATGGACATTTCTCGCTGTATAATTAATATAAAGTATTAGAGTGCAGCATCCAAGCAAATTGTACGTGAAAATGACGATGTTGTGATTCCAGAAGGTGTTTGATATGGTTCTGGCTATCATAGTAATTCCAAAATCTTTATTGTTCCCAGTAATTATGAAAAATATGGTAAACATTGTCGCGTTAACCATTTATTGGTTTTAAAAATCTGAGCAAAGATAAATCGGTATTCATAAGTAATATTCACGAAGAATTGTCTTTTTTGCGGATCAAAACAAAAAAAGGAAATCAAAATAGCAAATAAAATTATGTAATTACTCAGATTTATTCATTCGATCACGGGCCAATTAAAAAAAATAAGAATCACTTTCATTGGTTTCGTTACTGTCTTGATGTTTAGCAACCGGTCCTCAGACTGATAATTGCCGCGAACTCAGCAAAGCAGTATTGTGCGAGTTGTTGGCTGGAAAGGCCCCGGATGTTCAAAAGGTGGATACATGTAGTGTTGTCCATTGGAAAAATTTCTATCCAGGAGATAACGCAGTTAGGTTTTCTAATACTTATCTACTGGATTCTGATTTATCTGTGCATACAACCGGGGCTACCCTGTGTGTCACCCCACGATGATTTGAAAATAGTCTTGTTTCCCAAAGAGGAACGTTTAAAAAATCACGAACATCATTAAAAAGAGTTTTCGTTATTTGAAGGCAATTTTAATAACATTCCACATACACTAGGTTATCAAATAAATGAAGTGTGATAAAAGCAAATTTAACAAAGACAGCGGTGATGTTAAATACTTCAACAATTTTTTTAAAAAATATTACCTCAAAATTTACCCGCCTTGACATCACATTAAATTATCTTTGACCAGGAGCCCATGGGCTCCTGCTTTGACAGATTATTATGTTCCTCTTAAAATATAGCTATCATTCCAGGAATATTTCAAAGATAAATTAAAACCAACTTAAGACTTCTAAGAATTTAACTGCGATGATTGTAAGAAACGTCCCCAGATATAAACGTTATACTCTGTCCGGCTCGTCACCAGTCTTCCTGGGGGTTGCCGCGGTCTCTTTGTGGTCTTCAATGGAGAGCATACTCGGAGGGTCTTTATATGACTGGGAAGTTTTGAAATCTAAACAAAGAAATGGCAGAAAGAGTTGCTCAATTAAAAAACTTAAAAAGTCTCTTATTCCTCTAGTTTCTCGAAACTAGAAGCACTTTCACACAGCACTTTCAATGATCTGTTCATGTGGGACGTAAAAGAACCCACCCCACTGTTCGAAAAGAATGAGGGACGTAGACCCAGGTGGTGTGGCCAAAAAAAAAAACTTGTTTTGGAACGTATCTGGTCAGATTTGTATTTTCTCGTCCGCGTTTCGCTTGACAGACCCGAAAAAAATAGAGGATACTCGTATTATTTCCTATTTACTATAAGATAAAGACTGCGGGATCAGTACTCAGTTCAGTTTTTGCCCATGGAATGACTTAAGTCTCTTATTATATAACAAGATTGAAGTTACCTTTTGAATCAGAACATGCTGGTGGCTGGGAATCTTGTATAGGTAGTGGATTTTTGCAAGTCTCCTCAACAGGTAACATCGGGGACTGGTAAGGAGACTCTTGTTCCGGCGTAGCCACAATCAGAAGATCTTGCTCAAGCCCAACTTCATGACGTTCATTCTCCACGGTGTGCAAGCCAGTTTTGGTCTTAAGGTTTCTCCTTTTTTTACAGTAGCAAAATAAAACAAGAACAGCTAATACCACGGCACCGGTAGGAACACCTGCAACGATACCAATAAAGCGGGAGGATGTGCCAGATGACGCACTAATAACTGACGGTTTCTCTAATTTCTTTGTCGTGGGCATTGTCGTTGGACTTGATATGACGGCGGTTGATGGAGTCGGGTGCTGTGTTGGCGAGGGGCTGGTGCTTACGTTCCTCACTGCTACCTTTGCGCACTTCTCAGATCGCACAAAGTTACACCGCATGTTTGCCGCGACCTCAGGGACTTTACATGCGGGCTCTAATATATCTTTGCCATCGTTACAGCAAGGAGAACATGGCTTGCACCTTCCCACTATGTTGTCAAAGTAGGCCCCATGCTTGCAGTTGCCACAAACTGCATTTGATGTCAGAGTACAAGCTTTGATAGTTTCCTGGTACTCGTCACAAGGGTCGCAAATCTTGCATGCGCCAGCTTGATTTCCACCCGAATACGTTTCACCGAGAACACAAGACTGGCATTTAATAGGTGTTTGAGGGGTAATGACGTCCCCGCAGTTGACTGACAGCCCCTCCCCTGCCGGGCATGTTTGACATTTTTTGCACTTGTATCCATCGAGAGCCTCATCTTTGACGGTGATATCATTGTCTGGACAAACGGGGCTAACGCCTATAATAAAGAAATGATTATTAGAACAAGAGCGCTAACTAGCCATTACTCATGCCTCATACCACTGGGTAAGTAGCCTGCAAAGCCATTTCAAGTCAATAATTTCCTTGAATTACGCACGCATGTCGTTATCGCGGGTAAAACGAAAAGTGACTAAACGGATGCATTTCCAATGTATTTACCCGCAATTAAGATCAACACAAGTTTTCATTAAAAGAATGCTTCAAGGAGAAGGACTTGTAAAATGGTCTTACCAGCAATCATCAAAGATAGCAGCAAAGAGGGAAGAAGAATACTCTGGGCCATATGTTAGGTTTCGGTTGGAAGTCCTGTGGGGAAAAAATGTCTGGGTGAATTGTTTTTCCACTAAACGTTATTTAAAGATTAGGAAAGGTTACGCAAGCAGTCCCTTATTCAGTCTCTAAAAGATTCAGTAGTCTGCTTAAGGAGCTGTGCGAACAAGCGTAAAATTCTCTATCCACCTTTTTTTCCTCGCTGTCAACACGACATTTGATTTAACTGAGGTTAGTCCTGGCCGACCGGTTCTTTTCTGACTCAGGGACAGCCACAAATTATTAAACTTCTGTTAGGATTATGATAATTTATGCTGTTCAATGAACGTTTCTCATTGACTAGTTTTTGACATGTGGTTTTTGATATGTTAGTACTGTTCTGTTCTTTTCTCGCGCTCGTCCTTGTGAACTGTGACACAGCGTATGTTTAAGAATAAATGTCCAAAGAGTGCTCGATGGGTTTGAATCTTTCTAACAACTTCAACTTTGTCTTTTTGTTGGATAATTACAACCTTGTCCCTAGGGCTTTTGCATTAGGGTTGGTGCGGGGGACTGGGTGGTATTTAGTATTTACAGACTCTCGGAGTGTCAGTCAATATTGAACGTAAAATCCGTTCTCGACCTTCTTAATAGCGCTCTATTTAATTCGACTGCCGCCCAGTTTCAAGTCTGCCTCCTTTCCAATTCCCACTACAAAGAAACCTAGAAAGAAAACATAGAGGCGCACTTAATTCGAATAAAATCCAACAAACTCTCTTGTATGGTTACGTAACAACATATGAATAACTTTCCGTTTTTGTTTATCCATGGAGATGTTTGTAATTTCGTATGCACCGTCAAAACCAGAACGAATACGGTTTGCTCATGTTATCTAATCTTCCGGTGCCATGCTCAGTTAAGACGAAACGTCTTTGTAATTTAATATTTTAGTTTTTAAAGAGTTGTGACGTAAATCCTGTTTTGCAATGCTTGCATAATTTTTGTAAAAAAAATGTTTTTGCCACGTATATGTTCAGGCTCCTTGAAACATCGCAAGTTTACTTATTTTCTGGAAGTCAGTGCCTAGGAAAATTAAAGGCGAGACGACATATCAGTAATTACATCAAAAAGGTAATTAAAATATGTCGAGGCCCCTGACGTTACGAAAAATCAGTCAAGTTGGGATAATCGCGGGCACTTGCGATCTCCATCAGAGGAATTTATAAATACATTAAAGTGAATAACCCAAACTGCTGTACCAAATAAGGTAGAAATTTTTCTAGAGAATAAGACTTACCTTATTTAGATCTACGAGCCAAACAATCAACTATTAAAGAGTCACTCTACTCGTGCCATTCGTGTACTCTCTAATATTGATAAGCGGAAACCAACGATATCGTTTTTCCGTCGTAGCTTTTAAGGAATGTGACTTGTCATACAAGTTCATTTTTTAAAACTTCCTGCTTACAAGAGACGTGAGAAGACGCTCGATTCAAGTGCTGACAAGGATTTTGTTACAAAGTTATTTGTAACAGGTCTAGGTCACCATAATGGATGCAAGTCCCTGTTTTTAATTCGTTTTAAGTACAAGTATGTTTTGAAGAAAGGGTTGTCTAGAATCAATTCTTTCGTGTTAGAATGTAATTGTTCAGCAATGATCAAAGTATGAAGTAAATCCCTGGGGCGATAACAAGTCTGTTCACATCAAGGAAATACGGAAAACTAAGAACTTCCGTATTCTAGGGTCAATCGATTGGGACTGGCAGTAAAATCTGTTTGTTAAGCCCCCAAAAACCGCTACGGGTTAACAGGTCTGATTGTTTTTTACCCGGCATCAAGAGAAATAAATGTTTTTGTATGTCCGATGAGTTTTTCAGTTTAAAACCACGAAAATTTAAGGCTCTCGATCCCTGCTAAACGAAACACTGAAACAGACACGTTTGACTACACCAGACAGCGAAAATGGGTCACTAAAGACATTATACTTGTTCATGGGTCAACCGGCGATCATGTTCGGAAACTTTCATGAAAGTTAAGTAAACACATCAGAAATTTAATTGCGTGTTTATCTTTTGTCTAAAAGATGCACGTCATGTACTTTCTTTAGACTATTTTATCGCGGCAAGCAACATTTTTTATAAATCTAATCGTTATGAGAAGCCTTGTGACTTCTGTCAAGTGCGAGATGAGCTTGGATTTCAAGTAACACGAATGACCAAAGAAAAATATAGCTTTTAAAATTTTTTTATTGTCTTGCCTCGAAGCTTCATGAGGGCCCAATCATATAAAGTTTTTTTTATGGGGTTGCGGTCACCCAAAGCACTTTTGGCCTTCAGCTCAGAATCGAAACTTTTTTGACTTTTTACGTTGTGTGATCATTCACCAAAAAAACTGCCTCTAAACAATCTCTGTATCAGAACCTTGGAGATCACTCTCACTTAGGCCATGCTTTGTTTCCGGACAAACAAGAAGAATAGCTTACGAACAGATGTCCGTGTTGGCACAAATCCTCTCAAGAAAAGATCGCCGTATTATTGCCGCATACAGGAACACATCAACAATCTCAAGTACCATTGTAAGTTTTGTTGGTTCCGAAGTCAGAAATTATTAAATTGTGAAGGTTAAACTAAAAGGTAAGTTACGAAAACTCAGTCACGCTAAGTGTGCATATGTTGACCACAATTTTCTAGCAAACCAAAATCCGTCCAGCCTTCTTGGCAAATTTCAAGAGAACTAAACTTACCTTGATGTCGATTGATGAGACACGAAGAAGACAGCCCCGTTACATAAGAAGGCTTTCGAATATAAAGTGGATTCCTCTCCCGCTCTAAATCAATGCTTACTGTAACTATCACGTGACCATATTATACAGGTTTTACTGGACGTGTGACAGGTTTGATCTAACTTACGATCAGGCAGCCCTTCTTCCCTTTTAATTTGGGGGGGGGGGGGGGGGGAAAGGAAAGGGGGGGGGTGAACTAAAATTAAAATCCTT